TCCTCCTCCTCCTCCTCCTCCGACTCCTCCTCCTCTTCCTCCTCCTCCTCCCGCCTCCTCCCTCCTCCTGCCCTCTCTTCGCCGTCGATGGGAGGCTGCGATCTGCAAAACCGTCGCCGCTTTCTAGGATTGCTGGTGGGTCCAGCGGAGTGAAACACCGCGCTGACCTGAGGTAGACCTCGCCGTCCCTGGGGGGCTGCGATCTGCGGAACTGTCGCCACTTTCGAGGGCTGCTGGTGGGTCCACCGGGGTGAGGCACCGCGCACAATTGAGCGAGACCCCGCCGTCCCTGGGTGTGTGTGTGTGTGTGTGTGTGTGTTGCGATCTGCGAAACTATCGCCACTTTCGAGGGCTGCGGGTGGGTCCAGCGGAGCGAGGCACCGCGCAGACCTGAGGTAGACCTCGCCGTCCCTGGGGGGGCTGCGATGTGCGAAGTTGTCACCACTTTCGAAGGCTGCGGGTGGGTCCATCGGAGCGAGGCACCGCGCAGACCTGAGGTAGACCTCGCCGTCCCTGGGGGGCTGCGATCTGCGGAACTGTCGCCACTTTCGAGGGCTGCTGGTGGGTCCAGCGGGGTGAGGCACCGCGCACAATTGGGCGAGACCCCGCCGTCCCTGTGTGTGTGTGTGTGTGTGTGTTGCGATCTGCGAAACTATCGCCACTTTCGAGGGCTGCGGGTGGGTCCAGCGGAGCGAGGCACCGCGCAGACCTGAGGTAGACCTCGCCGTCCCTGGGGGGGCTGCGATGTGCGAAGTTGTCACCACTTTCGAAGGCTGCGGGTGGGTCCATCGGAGCGAGGCACCGCGCAGACCTGAGGTAGACCTCGCCGTCCCCTGGGGAGGCTGCGGTGTACGAAGTTGTCGCCACGTTTGAGGGCTTCTGGTGGGTCCAGCGGAGTGAGACACTGCGCAAACCTGAGCGAGACCTCGCCGTCCTTGGGGGGCTGCGATCTGCGGAACTGTCGTCACTTTGGAGGGCTCCTGGTGGGTCCAGCGGGGCGAGGCACCGCGCTGACCTGAGGTAGACCTCGCCGTCCCTGGGGGGGGAGGCTGCGATTTACGAAATGGTCGCCACTTTCGAGGGCGACTGGTGGGTCCAGCGGGGTGAGGCACAGCGCAGACCTGAGGTAGACCTCGCCGCCCCTGGGGGCTGCGATCTGCGAGAGGGTCGCCACGTTCGAATGCTGCTGGTGGGTCCAGCGGAGTGAGGCACCGCGCAGACCTGAGGTAGACCTCGCCGTCCTTCGGGGGCTGCGATGCAGCACCGTCGCCACTTTTGCGGGCCGCTGGTCGGTCCAGCGGAGCGAGGCACCACGCAGATCCGAGCTGGACCTCGCCGTCCCTGCGGGGGTCTGCGATCTGCGGAATTGTCGCCACTTTTGAAGGCTGCTGGTGGGGCCAGCGGGTGAAGCACCGCGCGGACCTGAGGTAGACCTCGCCGTCCCTGGGGGGCTGCGATCTGCGGAACTGTCGCCACTTTCGAAGGTTGCTGGTGGGTCCAGCGGCGCGAGGCACCGCGCTGACCTGAGGTAGACCTCGCCGACCCTGGGGGGCTGCGATCTGCGAAACTGTCGCCACGTTCGAGGGCTGCTGGTGGGCTCGCCACTTTCGAAGGCTGCTGGAAGGTCCAGCGGAGTGAGGCACTGCGCGGACCTGAGGGGAACCTCGCCGTCCCAGGGCGGCGATGTCATGTTGTTGCTGCCATGCCGACGCTTCAAGCCCCTTGCCCACAGTCTTCATTTGGACCTTGCGTCTTCCTTAGTGACTCAGGGGCTCATTTCGTTACTCCTCAGTTTTCCCTTGATTGGAGACATGCACCCTGCAAGCCGTCGGCATGCCGCTCGCAAAAACACAGATGCGTCCATGTCACGTCGCCGCCGTACGTCAAATCTCCCAAGCTCCTCCCGCCCCGCATGGCGCAGGAATTGGGTACGTCGCCAGGGTAATGTGTGCGTGGGCGCACGAGGCGAATCGGACGCCGGGCAAGCAGGGGAACGCTATGCCACCCGCGAACGTAAAAAAACAGGGCAGCGAACACGCGGCCTGGTGGGGATACTTCTGGGTATGCAGGCGCACGATGCGAGTCGGACGCCAGGCAAGCAACGGCAGGCTATCCTCGTGGGGATGCGCGAAGCGTCAATAAGATCGGTCAAGGAGGCCTTAGCCCCAAGACGGCCCTAAGGGTACCAAGAGGCCCCTTGAGACGGCCCCGAGAAGCCCCCAAGACGTCCTGCGAAGGCGCCAGACGGCCCAAGAGCGCCCCGAGACGGCCCAAGAGAGCCCCAAGAGAGCTCCAGACTCCAGCCCTCAGACAGCCCAGAGGCCCTGATGAGCCTGAGTGTGGTCATGTGGAAGCTCCCGAAGGCGCTCTTGGAGCTCATATTGGGCCCGTGTGGGTCATCTCAACGACTGGGTGGTGTACATCCGTATGTGTATGATCATTGGCATGCGTGCCTCGTGTTGCTGAGTCGCACTCAGCGGTCGTGCGGTGTTGCAGGTATACTCCCCACAACCAACCCTCCCTCGCCTAATCACTCTAAAGCCTACGATTGGACATGTCAACATAACGCTCTCGAGCAATAACGCACACGCACATGTAGCAATTACGCGTGTAAACGAGCAAGGGCATCGCTGTGAACGTGTGAGGGAGCACGCTAAACAGATCGGACTTGGCAATGCGCACGATCCGTCGGACCAGAGGGCCAACCCAGAACCCCGACATCGTGATCATCTCACAACGTGACCCCCAAAGATCTTGACCCCTTCCCTGTGACCAGTTTCTCATCCCGGGTTGTGTTTGACGGGCCTAGGGCCCAGCGAGGGGGCTCCTGCAGAAACGGTGCCATGAAATCTGAGGAGACATCATGAAGTCGGCCATGATATCCCTTCCCCCCCCTAGTCACCACCCCCGAGGATGCTTGTAGGATCATCCCGAAGTGGGGCCTGGATGATCCCAAGAGGGCCCCGAGGACGGCCCAGCAGGCGCCCAGGGCGGCCCAAGAACGCCCCGAGAGGGGGCCGAGACGAGGAGGGACTCGAACTTGCAGTTCGAGCCCTCCGTCGGCGGTGGACAGACCTCCCTTTAGTAAGCCTCCTCTTAGTGAAAACGGCCTGGGACCGAAATCGACGGGCCTGGACCCGCAAAAGAGGACGGCCGCGACGCTCCCTCGCGAACCAAGAAGGGCCAAGTCACTAATCGACGTGTCAGGGTAGGAGGTCTATCCACCCTGCAGCCGCCCCACAGACCCTGCAGGTGTCGTTATTATTATTTTATTATTATTAGTATTATTAATACTATTATTATTATTATTAGTATTATTTTTTCGTATGTTTCACTATACCGATTAGATTCCTCCTCCTCCGCCTCCTCCTCCTGCTCCTCGTCTTCTTCTTCTTAGTATGATTATTATGTTTCTTGTTATTATTCTTCTTAGTATTATCATTATTATTATTAATATTATTATGATTATGATTATGATTATTATTATTATTATCATTATTATTATTATTATTATTACTACTAATATTATTACTATTATTATTAATATTCGTCGTAGTATTCTATGTATTCGGCTTCTTCTTCTTCTTCTTCTTCTTATTATTATTAATATCATTATTATTCGTAGTATTCGTCCTCCTCCTCCTCCTCCTCCTCCTCCGCCTCCGCCTCCGCCTCCGCCTCCGCCTCCGCCTCCGCCTCCTCCTCCTCCTCCTCCGCCGCCTCCGCCTCCGCCTCCGCCTCCGCCTCCGCCTCCGCCTCCGCCTCCTCCGCCTCCTCCGCCTCCTCCGCCTCCTCCGCCTCCTCCGCCTGCTCCTGCTCCTGCTCCTGCTCCTGCTCCTGCTCCTGCTCCTGCTCCTGCTCCTGCTCCTCCTCCTCTCCTCCTCCTCCTCTCCTCCCTCCTCCTCCTCCCTCCTCCTCTCCTCCTCCTCCTCCTCCTCCTCCTCCTCCTCCTCCTCCTCCTCCTGCTCCTCCTCCTCCTCCTCCTCCTCCTCCTCCTCCTCCTCCTCCTCCTCCTGCTCCTCCCTCTCTCCCTGGATGCCCCTCCTGGATGCCCCACGGCACGGCCCCGCCACCGCCCTGGGGCGCCCGGGGCCCCCCGAGGCCGGCGCGCACGGCGAGGCCCCGCCCCCTCCCGGACCCAGGGCGACCTCTCGACTCGGCTTGGGTGCCCCTCTCCCTGCCTGAGCATCCACTCGAGGATCAAGGCTCGAGGCTCGAGGATCGCTGGAGGTTCGAGGATCGAGGCTCGAGGATCTCCCCCACTGCCTGCCCTCGAAGAAAAACCGCAGTTGCATTCAACGCAGACTTTCTGAGGTCCGAGCGGATCTCTTGTAGCGGCGCTGGACCCCCCTGGCTGGACGAAGATCGAGGACCTCCCCTCCTGCCTGCCTCCGAAGAACAGCAACACCAATTATCGTCAAAGGCTTAACGGCTTCTGCCGTCCTTCGATTCGCGCTGGAGCAATCGCGACTTGCTCCAACTTTCCCTGGAGACCCCTGGATCTACCCGGGCGTATCTCGGTGTACCTGGGTTTACCTGGATGTGCCTCGATTTCTCCGCATTCGCCTGGACTTCTCTGGCTCGATCCCCACAACCGGCCGTTGGCAGAACTGGGTTTAAGGGAACCTGGTTCAGTGACGTGTACTGGGGGACGCCCCGTCACCCGAAAAACACCAGCTACGGCAGCCTCGCCGCAGACTCTCGGAGGCCCGCGCGGAGTCCCTGGATCGGCGCTGGGCCCGCCCCCCCCCGGCCCGGCGCGCCCCAGCCGGGGGGCAGCGCCAGAGGCGCCGCCGGGGGGCAGCCAGCGCCGACTGAAGAAACCCGCACGGCCCCTCGAAAGTTCACGTTTACGCCATCGTTTCGCTCCCCATGCGCTGCCCCGCGCACCGCGCCCTCCCTCCCCCCTCCCTTCCTCTCATCTCTGCTTTTTGCCCGGCCTTCGCTGAATCGCACGGGCGGGGGCCGCTGGCAGTGCGCCGCGAGGCTTCCGAGATAGCGTCAGCATCGTCCTGGACACGCTGCCGTAGGCTGCCATCAACCGGCTCACCTCGCATTGACATGTCCGGCATATCCTCTCGAGCCTGCTCTCCTCATTCACGTCCGCCCCCCCTCCTCCTCACATCGCCCCCGTTGCCCTCTTCCTCCTCATCACCTCCTTCGCCTTGCCTGGTGAAGGGCTCTCATCGTAAGCAGCGCGGCGCGAGACGGATGAGGCACGGAGCAGCGCGGATGGGAGCCCCGAAACGTGCGTGGGGTGTGCCGAAATCAGCGGGGGACGCATGCGGGCCCTGCCACCGGGGCCTTCGTGCGGAGCTCCCTATTGGAACACGATCCTAGTGAGGGGTGTGCCGAAATCGCCCAAAATCGCAATGCGAACCCTGCTGCTGGGGCCTTCGGTGGAGCTCCCCTATGTGGCCACGATCCTGGTGAGGTGTGCGCCCAAACCCTGCCACTGGGGCCTGCGGTGGAGCTCCCTATGGGCCACAATCCTCGTGAGGGGTGTGCCGAGATGGCCCGAGGCCGCCATGCGAAACATGCCTGCCACTGGTGCTTGCGGTGGAGCTCCTCTATGGGCCACGATGCTCGTGAGGGGTGTGCCGAAATCGCCCGACGCCGCCATGAGAACCCTGCCGCTGGGGCCTGTGGTGGAGCTCCCCAATGGGGCCACGAACCGCGTGAGGGGTGTGCACAAACCCTGCCACTGGGGCCTGCGGTGGAGCTCCCTATGGGCCACGATCCCCGTGAGGGATGTGCCCAAATGGCCCGAGGCCGCCATGCGAAACCTGCCTGCCACTGGTGCTTGCGGTGGAGCTCCTCTATGGGCCACGATTCTCGTGAGGGGTGTGCCGAAATCGCCCGACGCCGCCATGAGAACCCTGCCGCTGGGGCCTGCGGTGGAGCTCCCCAATGGGGCCACGAACCGCGTGAGGGGTGTGCACAAACCCTGCCATTGGGGCCTGCGGTGGAGCTCCCTATGGGCCACGATCCCCGTGCGGGGTGTGCCCAGATGGCCCGAGGCCGCCATGCGAACCCTGCCACTGGGGTCTTCGGTGGAGCTCCTCTATGGGCCACGATGCTCGGGAGGGGTGTGCCGAAATCGCCCGAGGCAGCCATGCGAACCCTGCCTGCCACTGGGGCCTGCGGTGGAGCTCCCCATCTGGGGCCATGATTCTTGTGAGGGGTGTGCCGAAATCGCCCGAGGCCGCCATGAGAACCCTGCCGCTGGGGCCTGCGGTGGAGCTCCCCAATGGGGCCACGATCCTCGTGAGGGGTGTGCCCAAACCCTCCGGCTGGGGCCTGCGGTGGAGCTCCCTGTGGGGCCACGATCCTCATGAGGGGTGTGCCCAGATGGCCCGAGGCCGCCATACGAACCCTGCCACTGGGGTCTGCGGTGGAGCTCCACGTTGTGGCCACGATCCTCGTGAGGGGTGAGCCTACATGATTGACATGCGGAGGGCAGAGGCAAGAATGGGCAGAGCCAGGGATGGGAGGAGTGTGGAGGCGGGAGAAAGGAGGAGAACGCAGGCCGCTGTCTCTTCAAAACGAGGACCCAACACTACAGGAAGGTCAGGGAAATGATTCTGGACAAGATGGATTCCCAGACACTTCTGGAAAAGTGATCTCAGCACGTGCACTACGCAGGAGGGACACTCGGGCGTCGAGAAGGGCATACCGGATCCCACAAGAGATGGTCGTGATACAACGCACGCGCGGACAAAACTAGGTGCATGTGCTGGCAAGGCTTCGGGCTGCGCACAGACAGCCCGCCCAGGCTCAAGGTAGTCCAGGCTGGCCTCAATGGGCCCCCCCCCGAGTATCGGGAGCGGCCAAGAGGGGGGCGTCCAAGAAGGGGGGGTGCAAATCATGGCCGGCGGCATGTGCGCGGTGGGGGGGGGCAGGGACGTGATGAAATAAGAAAAGGCACCATGAAACCTGCGGAAATATCACGGCCCACGCCATGATATCCACCCCTCCTAGTCATCAACACCCTCTTTGCCGCCTCCGAGAGTAGTCCCAGATGGCCTCAACAGGTCCCGCGAGTAGTCCAGAGTGGTCTCAAGACCCTGGCCCCGTGGCGCGGAGCACCCCAGGGTGTTGAGGCCGCGCAAGACTACTCGGGGGCATTATCATTGTTGTTATTATTTCCCGTAATATGATATTATGTTTAATGTCTTACACTTGTTGTATCTTTTTTTTGGGGGGGGGGCCTGTTGAGGCCACCTGGGGCAACCTGGGAGCCTCTCAAGGCCAGCTGGGACTGCCTGGGGCCTGAGGGGGCTGGCCGTGCGCCACCCGGAGCCTTACCAGCATGGGCGACCCCCTGTGCACTTGTGGCGTACAGTGGGGGTCCGAACACAAGAAACCTCCCACAAAAGACCCAGCCCTGAGACCCCCGGATGTCCATGGATTCGTTGTGCGGGAACGCCGCGCTTCCCATAGCAACACCATCCAAGTAACCCAGTGTAAGCTGGAGGCAAGTAGGGTGTGTCTTGGCCGTCGGGCTGGCTGTGGGGCTGGCCGTGGGGCTGGCCACGGGGTGGGCCAACGGGCTGGCCGTCAAGCGGGCCGTGGGGCTGTCAGCCGGCCAGGCCGTGGGGCTGGCAGTCGGTGTTCCGCAGCATGCTTCTACAATGTCCTGTCCTGTCTACACTGGCGATTTGTTTCTGGATGGGCTTGTGGAGATTTTGCCCGTCGCAGCCGCAGGCGAGCGCGCCAGCAGCGTCAAGGAAAACTTGTGGAGATAAGGGACGCGTCAGGAACTGCAAGCCGTGAGCTTAGGGGGGGGCGGTTAGCATTCTAGACCCTTTGAAATTACGAATCCTCCTCCGCGTCCCCATCTCCTTCTTGTGTCATCAACATCCCGAATCCTCCTCCTCGAAGGCGACCTCGCCTCAGCAGGGTTCAGGTCGTCGCCACTGTCCCTGAAGTAGTTTGCCACCTTGGGCGGATAATTGAGGGGACGAACAACCATTCCGCCTGCGGCGACACCGAGAACAATTCTTGTCCAAAAAGCGCAGGATCCGCTGTCGGCCTTCGTCCCCATTCTGTCCGTGTCGTCCCGTTCTTTCCGAACCCAGTTCGATCGTACCGATCCTCCTCCTCCTGCTCCTCCTCTCCTGGCTGACCGCCTCCTCCTCGTCCACCGGCGATGACAAGGAAACAGATGGAGCTCAAGAGCGCAGGCTGGTTGTGGCCGAATTGGCTAATCAAACTGAAAACTCACTCGCCGAACCACCTGTGAAAGCGCCGGCTTACCGATTGAGAAATCTGACCAGGTAGTCCTCGTGGAAACATGCAATTCGGTTCGGATTCCCACAACCTACCGCAATATCGGTCCTCAACTGGCATCTGATCGCGTGGTTTGTGAAACTCGGGAAGAAAATTGCCCTGTCTCGTTCTGAGAAGGCGTCTCAAGAACAAGAACGAGAAATGTCCCAGGCGTGAAAGAGGGAGAGAGAGAAAGCAACAAAAAAAGAAAGGGAGATCTCTCTCTATATATATATATATACATACATGTGTATACATATACATGTATGTATACACACAAATATAAACACATACATATACATATATATATGTATATATATATATATATATATATATCCGCCGGCCCCCTTATGGGGCCACCAGGCTGTAGGCCGAAGCTTCGCAGTTTCCTGTACCAGTTGCAGCTTCCAGTTTCCACTGTTACAGTTCTGCTTCTTGTTGCTTACTGTTCCTTGTTGATGGACCGCGCGAGGGGGCGGAGGCCCAAACGGGAATGATTAGCACGCCCTGAGCGTGTGCTCTGAATTGCTGGAGTGGATTAAAAAAAACTGACCCCATCACGCAGATCGGCGGGGTCAGTGTCACAAAAAACAGATTGGATTTGCCACGTTTCTGACATTCGTTGGCACACCTCACGCAGATCGGCGGGGTCAGGGTCCAAAACACAAGGGGTTTGCCACATTTCTGACATTCGGTGGCACCCCTCACGCTGATCGGCGGGGTCAGGGTCCAAAAACACATACGGATTGGCACCATTTCTGAAATTTGCTGGCACGCCTCACGCAGATCGGCGGGGTCAGGGTCCAAAAACACATGGAATTTGCTAAATTTCTGACATTCGGTGGCACGCCTCATGCAGATCGCCGGGGTCAGGCTCCAACAACACATGGGATTCGCTACATTTCTGACATTCGGTGGCACCCCTCACGCAGATCGGCGGGGTCAGGGTCCAAAAACACAGGGGATTTGCAACATGGTTAAAACTTGCTGGCAACCCTCACGCAGATCGGCGGGGTCAGGGGTCACAAAAACAGACGGGATTTGCCGCATGTCTGACATTCAGTGGCACGCCTCACGCAGATCGGCGGGATCAGGGTGCAAAACCACAGCGGAGTTGCCACATTTCTGCTGGCACCCCCCTCACGCAGATCGGCGGGGTCAGGGTCCAAAAATACATGAGATGTGCTACTTGTTCTAAAATTCAATGACACCCCTCACTGGGATCGGCGGGGTCAGGGTCCAAAAACACATGGGATCCCCAACATTTCTCAAATTCGGTGGCACCCCTCACGCTGATCGGCGGGGTCAGGGTCCAAAAACATCTGGGCGCTGCCACATTGTTTAAATTCGGTGACTCCCCTCACGCAGATCGGCAGGGTCTGGGTCCACAAACACAAGGGATTTGCCACATGTCTGAGATTCGGTGGCACCCCTGATGCAGATCGGCGGGGTCAGGCTCCAACAACACATGGGATTTGCTACATTTCTGACATTCAGTGGCACGCCTCACGCAGATAGGGGGGGTCAGGGTCCAAAAATACATGGGATGTGCCACATTTTGTTCGAATTCAGTGACACCCCTCACGCAGATCAGCGGGGTCAGGGTAAACAACTGGGATTTGGCACATTTCTGAAATTCGATGGCACCCCTCACACAGATCGGCGGGGTCAGAGTCCGAAAACCCAGGGGATTATCAACATTTATAAAATCCTGTGGCACCCCTCAGGCGGATCGACAGGGCTAGGGTTTAAAAATAGAGGATTTGCCACATGGTTTAAATTAATTGGTTTTGCTGATTACGAATCGGCCTCGCATGAAGTTCCGATACTGCTTCACGACGGCGCCAAGGCCTCATGACATAGCTCTCGCATCGCGCACTATCCCAGAGAGGGGGCTGGCGGCGGGGCGCGAAGCACTGACGGATATATCTATATATCTATATATTTATAGATGTATGCATTTCTATATATATAGGCATGCACATACATATATATATACACATATATATATATATATAGAAAAAGAGATACATAATGAGTGTGAGAGAAAGAGAGAGAGAGAGAGAGAGAGAGAGAGCGATATACACAAGGGAGGCATATTGAGAGATACCGAGACAGATGTAAGGCGACAGAGAGAGAGAGAGAGAACAAAAAAACGAGAGCGAGAGAGAGATAATGAGAGAGTGTGATAACATATGTATGTGCACTTATGTTCATGTAGCAAGAGATTGGAAGAATAGAGAGAGAGAGAGAGACAAACAAGAGAGGGAACGAGGGACATATATATGCATACATAGTTACGGCAAAAACCAATGGAGAAGGGTGGAACGAGAGATCTTGAGGGGAACAAAGAAAATGCTATATACATGCGTGTGCATAAAACTCATAGACGTATGTATACAATGTGTGAATATATACATACACACACATATATATATATATATATATATATATATATATATGTACACACACGTATGTACAGATATACGCACACACACATATATTTATACATATATATAGGCATACGTGTATATACGTCCGCCACCGAGCCGCGAGTCCCGAAGCGTATCTTTCTCCAGGTCCTCATGTGTCCTGTGTTCTGTTTTTGTCCTCCAGGGCAGGGGCCCCGAATTCTCAATTTTTTATGCATTCCCGAGCATTCTCGGGTTGCCCCGCGCTACCTTTCCACAAGCCAGAAGGCCGCAAGACGGGCAAAGAGGGCCCCAGAGAGCGCCCAAAAGGGTCTAAGGGGCCTGCAAGATAGCCCAAGAAGGCTCCATGACGCCCAAGATGGCACTAACATGGCCCAACATTACCCCCGGAAAACTTAACAGCGCTCCGCATCCCAGGAACCCACGACATTGGCGACAGTGAAGCAAATGCCTCCCCCTCCCCCCCCTTGTCCAAGGAGCCGTGAAGTCTAGTCTGGATGCTGGCATGTCACCTCATCGCTGGACCTCCAAGGAGCCCACGAAACGGACGACAACGGCGCAAGTGCCCCCGCCCCCCAGCCCCCCCCCCCCCCCACCATGAACCGCGAGGTCAGGTCTGGATGCGCGTGCGCCACCACCCTGCAGGATCTCTCAGGAGCTCACGACGGTTGCGACACATCCGCGGGTAGAACTTCCCTCGGAACCGCGAAGTCTAGTCTGGATGCGCGCATGACGCCGCTCCGCTGGACTTCCTAGGAGCCCACGACGACGGCGACAGTTGCACAAGTGGCAGCCCCCCAAGAAACGTTGAGATCGAGTTTGTATGTGTGAATGTCCCCGGCCCGCTGGACCTCCACTGACCCAACACATGTGGCAAGTCTTGCGCACATCGCAGCCCCCCAAGGAGCCGAATAATCTAGTCTGGACGTGTGTATACCCACGGTCTGCTGGACCTGCCAAAAACCAGCGGAAATGGCGACTCTTGCGCAAGCGGCAGTTCCCCAAGGAGCCTCGAGGTCTATTCTGGACAGGCGTACGATGTCCGCGGACAATGAGCAGCTCCACCCCCATGGGGGGCCGCGGGGCCACGGAGCGTGCGAGGTGTCTGCCAAACTACTGTTGAGTCGGGTCTGTTCCCCGACAAGGGAATTTGGACGAACAATGAGTGAGCCAGGCGAAGGACCCAACCATGCGCAGTTGTAAATACAGCAACTGTGAATACCATCGTCGCCCGCGCTCCCTGTATGGCCACGGCTTCCCGCCGGCGTCCGACATGCTGAGGGACACGTTCGTGGCCGTCTTCGCGGGCGCCGACGACGACGACGACGAGGACGGCGTCCCCCTGACCGCGGAGCAGAAGTAGGAGAGGGCTCTGAGAGCCATGAGGGAGGCTGCGACTGGCGCCTTCGGTGGAGCTCCTATAGGGCCACGATCCTTGTGAGGAGTGTGCCGACATGGCCCGAGGCTGCCATGCGAACCCTGCCACTGGCGGCCTGGCGCCTTCGGTGGAGCTCCCCATGGGGCCACGATCCTCGTGATGGGTGTGCCGACATGGCCCGAGGCTGCCATGCAAACCCTGCCACTGGCGCCTTCGGTGGAGCTCCCATGGGGCCACGATCCTCGTGAGGGGTGTGCCGAAATGGCCCCAGGCCGCCATGCGAACCCTGCCACTGGCGCCTTCGGTGGAGCTCCCATGGGGCCACGATCCTCGTGAGGGGTGCGCCGACATGGCCCGAGGCTGCCATGCGAACCCTGCCACTGACACCTTCGGTGGAGCTCCCTATGGGGCCACGATCATTGTGAGGGTCGTGCCGAAACGGCCCCAGGCCGCCATGCGAACCCTGCCACTGGCGGCTTCCGTGGAGCTCCCATGAGGCCACGATCCTCGTGAGGGGCGTGCCGACATGGTCCGAGGCCGCCATGCGAACCCTGCTACTAGCGCCTTCGGTGGAGCTCCCTATGGGGTCACGCACCCAGGGGGGAAGGAGGGGGAGGAGGGAGGAGGGGGAGGAGGAGGGAGGAAGGAGGAACCGGGGGACCGTCTCATCAGAACGAGGACCCAACACCACAGGATGGTTGGGAAAACTGGCCAGACAATAACCTAAAATGGCCAACACATGCTCAAAACATCGTCCCCTTGCTATTGTTTGGCTACTTTGGAGTATTACTCCTGTAATGGGGCCAGGCCCGACTCAACAAACTACAGGGCAGGTTTTAATATATTGGATGTTGGAAATATGTGATTGATAATAAATGATTAATGCATGAATAAGCTTATGCATGAACTCATCGTTGTTTTTGATGCTAAATCCCTGCTTATCGAATACATGATCCGCACGCGGAGCACAGTACTGGGGTAGGCGCATGCGGGCACGAGGCGCGTGAGGTCTGCCAAAGCAGCGGGGAGGGCGCGCGGCAGCGCTGGAGCTCCCCACGGGGCCTCGGAGCCACAACGGCGGGGTGGGCGCACGCGGGCGTCGCCGATGGGGCCTCCAGCGGGAGCTCCCAGCATGGAGCCACGGACGGCGCGAAACATCTGCCCAGCTGGCGGGCGGGGCGGACGCGGGCGCTGCCCCTGGGGCCTGCGGTGGAGCTCCCCATCGGGCCACGACGAGTCCGAGGGGTCTGCAGTATTAGTGGGGGGGTCGACGCATGGGGGCGCTGCCACCGGGGCCTTCTGTGCAGCTCCGTGTGGGGCCACGAAACAGACGGAAACGTGCGAGGGTTCTGCCAGACTGGTGGGGTGGCCGCATGCGGGCGTTGCCACTGGTGCCTTTTGCGGGGCCACATATGAGGCCACGAGACGTTCGAGGGGTCTGTCAAAAAGTGGGGTGGGCGCGCGGGGACCCTGCCACTGGGGACTGATGCTGCTAATGATGATCCTGATGATGATGATGATGATGATGATGATGATGGTGGCGATGTTGATGGTGATGATGGTGATGATGATGATGATGATGATGATGATGATGATGATGATGATGGTAATGATGATGGCGACGATCATGATGATGATAATGATGATGATGATGCTGATGGTGATGATGATGGTGATGGTGATGATGATGATGATGGTAATGATAAGGATGATGCTGCTGCTGATGATGATGCTGATGCTGATGCTGATGATGATGATTATGGTAATGATGATGATGATGATGATGGCAGCGATGACGATGACGATTACGTTGATAACGATGACGGGTGAATTTGATGGTGAAGACAAGCTGGGGTCAGGTTGGAGTAAGAGGAGGAAGGAGCAAATAATACGAAAAGCACGCCTGCTTCAAAACGAGGGCTGGACAGCGCGGGATGATTCAGGACAACAGATACACAACAGTCCCTGATATGGTCCAATTCCGCCCTGCGATGACCCGATCTACAATTGCCTGGTGCTGACCCCGTCCCACAGCGTCGAAGTTGCCAGCCAACGCAATCACACGAGGATCTTCGAAAACTGAACCTGGCTTCTGAGCGCAATAAAGCTTGCACGCATCACCGGAATTCTTATCCTGGATGACGACAAAACCACTGCTGGCAGTCAACTCAGCCTCGTGCTGCAAGAGCGGGAACGTCTTTCACGCCTTTCTAGATCTCAGGCGTAATCTGACCGATGACCGCGAAGTGCTCGTTAATCTCCCCATCCCTGGGCAACTTCAAACGCAGACACTCCTCCCCGATGGGCGCCTTGACAGGGAAACCGTCAGGATAGTCACGGTGGAACGCGGCGATATTCTCATGTGCTGAATTTGCCGAGGGGGGGTGCAACTATCACCATCTTCGAACAAAACATGGGGATGACTTCATCACTGCCTCGACCTCCTCGAACGCAGAAGCTGAGAAGATAGCACCGCTAGCAGAATAGGGCATTGCACGAGCGGACTCATCTCCGAAACCACCCAAGACCCCATTGGACAGGAAGTCGGGCTAGTCAGGACAAGCGATACCAACCTGAGGGAGACGTGCCTTCTCAGCCACAACACCCCCGTCTCTGCTGCCACTACTGCTGCCCGTGCTCATGTCGCTGGCTGAAGACGCCCACAAAGTACTCTCTGCCAGAGCTTGATGGTTTCTCCCAGTGCGCGTTTCTGGCGTGGGTCGACCGGATAGCTCGGACGGACGAGGCAAGAGATGCAGTGTGCATACGCAGAGATGGCACAGATCATACCAGTGGGGTTCGTTGATCTTGGCGATGGCGCCGTTCAGGTTGGCCAATTCAGATGGGCCACGATCAAACAGGGGCCTCACGCGAGACGACGCCACGACCTTGCGCGGCGGCTCACGCGGGCCGGGGCGCCTGCGCGCGACCGTGCGCGGGCAGCTTGCGCGCCAGCGTCGGCGAAGACGGCCCTGTTCTTAGGTCGGGCGTGTCCTCTTACAGGGGGAGTTTGGACGAAAATGAGAATTCCCCCCAAAAGGCTCAACAATTGTCTAAAAATACTCGAGAAGTCGTCCACCGACGATTTTTGTACTAGTTTTGAAGATTCCTCCTGTCGGGGGACGTGCCGGACTTAACCCTGTTTTCTGGCGTCGATCAGCTGCCAACTCAGAGGCGATTGCATCGGAACTCTCCTCTGGTGGCATCACGCCTGTGGAGCGGCTCGGGGAGGGAGGAGCACACAAAGCAAGGGTATCGACAGCCAGGCTTCACGCAGCCCAGTGGCTGCGATCAAGCGCGAGGAACCAGGAAGTCACGTTTCGAGCTTGAGTCTCAATGGCTACGGATGGCGGTGGTGATGATGACGATGAGGAGGTTGATTGGCACGAAGATAACGCAACGATGATGATGATGATGATGATGATGATGATGATGATGATGATGATGATGATCATGATGATAAAGAAGATGATGATGATGATGATGATGATGATGATGATGATCATGATGATCATGATGATAAAGAAGATGATGATGATGATTATGATGATGATGAGTCTGATGATGATGAGTCTGATGCTGAGGTTGACGTTGTTGATGATGATGATAATGATGATGATGATGATGATAATGGTAATGATGATGATGATGATGATGATGATGATGATGATGTTGATGTTGATGAAGATGATGATGATGATGATGATGATGATGATGATGATGATGATGATGATGATGAGGATGATGATGGTAATGATGATGATGATGCTGCTGATGGTGATATTGATGTAGGACTTGATGAACTGGCAGGCGATTGCGGATCGAGGCCAAGCTCTGGCTGCCACGCGCAGGACGAAGACCAGCGAAAAAAGGAAAAGTATTACCGCGAACATCAGCAAGCACCAGCCCAGGGTCCCCATGGTGCTGGCGAGCGACTTCAGCAATACGCGCAGGGGCTTGATCTCGGCGGCATGGACGATACATCCTCCTCATCTCTCTTTCCCCTGCACCTCCTCCTACCACTTCTCCTCCTACCTCTGGAGGACCAGGATGAAGGCTTAAACTCTCCAAACACCCCATCATGGAAACCAGCATTGACTTCTTCCCACCGGCTCTGCAGTAAGCAGGCCCAGTGGGTGAGCAAATCCTCCGATCCAAGGGATCTCAAAACTGACCGTCTCTTGGCGGCGCGCACAAGGGTGTACGCGGAGGGGAGTGGGCTTCTTAGGAGGAGGCTGTTTCTCAGAAGGCGCCAGCCTCACATCTACAGAGAAGGCCCGCTTCTTCCAAAAGAAGCAGGGGTGCTTCTAGGAAGCCTCCCCCCCTCCCCCCTACCCCCCTCTGGGGAAACTGGCAGGTACCCCTACCGCTACTCCCCAGGCCTCTCCCGGGGTGCGTTCTGACCAGGATGGCGAGGCGAATCCAGCGGTGGCGACGAGGGCCGCCGAGGAGGCCCCGAAAAGGGGAAAACGAGGATCGGCGGTGGACAAACCTCCCTGTAGTAGACCCCCCTTTAGTGAAAACGGCCTGGGACCGAAACCGACGGACCTGGACCCGCAAAAATGACGGCCGCGAAGCCCTCTCGCGAACCGAAAACGGCCAATTCCTTAATCGACGTGTCAGGGCAGGAGGTCTGTCCACCCCCGAGAGGAACGGCGCCGCATCGACGATACATCGACGATGCATCGACGATGCATCGGCGATACATCGGCGATGCACCAGCGATGCATCGTCGACGTCAGCGATTAACCGGCGACGTCGACGTGAAGCAAATCGGGCTCCACATCGAGCCGCATCGGCGATGCATCGGCGATGCGGCACGCTCCTTCGACCCCATCTACTCCGACCCCATCTAGGAGGCCTACGGCAGGTTCGTGTCGTGCCGACCCTGGCGTTGGTTCCTGACACCGCGCTGGATCGTTCAACCTTGAACGATCGGCCGTCTCCACAACGTCCGATCGTTCAACATCGACCGATTCTGGGCCGCCGTCGGCGTTCAACGTTGAACGTCGGCGGCGGGGTCGCCGCCGGTCGACACGACGCGAACCTACCGTAGAGGTATGGATACCCTTTCCTCTTCCGACGCTTTGCGCGTGGCCGAGCTGCACCCAGAGCAGCGCACCTCCCCACGGGATCGGGACTCGGGAGCGTCCAAGAGTGAAGGGGAACTGGGACACACAAAGAAATAGACACACACATAGAAAGATTCCCCATAGATTCCCCTGTGTTCTGGGTCTTTGTCTTCCCCCCCACTTCCCATATTTTCCCATATCATATTTTCTGGGGAATCGACGTCGACGATTCATTGTGTCTGTGGGTTTCCTTCACTCCTGAAAGAGGGGGGCGTCCGAGAGGGGGGGGGGGGGGCGCGAATCCTGGCCGGTGGCACGTGCGCGGCCCAGCGGGGGGGCCAGGGGCGTATTGAGATAAGAAGAGGCGCCATCTGGCCCTCGCTCGGACGTCCATTCCCTGTGCTTTTTTCGGTCTTGAGCGTGGTTGTTCCGCAGGATGCTCCCGGATGCTCCTGAATGGTCCCCGCCGACGAGAAGTGCACACGTCCGAGAGATACCAAGCCATGTAGTATTGAGAGATCTCATGGCACCAGCCTTGCAATCCACCCCCCCTACAGGGCAGTTGTTAATACATAGTTTTTTTGTTTTGAAACATTGGAGTTTAATACATGGTTAATGTATGAAAACATGTATGCATGAACCCATGGTTGTTTTAATACTGAATCCCTGCATTTTGAATCCACGATCCGCACGCGGAGCATGTATTGAAAACGGCACTGTAGTCATCACGCCCCTCCCTGGCCGCCCCCGAGGGATGACGGAGAGCTCCGCCGAGAGGCGGCGCGCCCCCCGGGGGGAGAAGGCAGGAGGGGGGCGGGCCCGGGGGAAGAGCTCCTCGAACGAGGCCCCGAAGGCCTTCGGCCTGCTGCGGCACACTCGGGTCGGGCGACAAGGGGGGGGATAGCAAAGGGGGGGGCGCCTCCCGGCGCTGGAGACGGCCATGTCTCGAGGAATGGGCCCCTCGGTGGGGCCGAAACCAGCTGCATGCAGCAGATTTCGTACCCCCCCCTTTCCCTATTCCCCCCCTTTCGTCCGACCCGGCACACGTTTTCGGGGGGGGGGGGGAGGAACCAGAGGGGGGGTATCACAGGGCTGAACCCAAAGGGTGTGTTTCGTTTTCGTTTTGTCTTCGTTCTTCCTCGCGTTTGTCTCGAATCCGCCGTTACCGCAAAACGAAGTCGAAACGAAAACGGCCCACGAAATCGCAAAAAAACACCGTTTAGGTCCAGCCCTGGGGTATACTGTAACGCCTCCCCCCCGCCGTGTGCCCGGTGTGCACGGCGGCAGTGCCCAGAGCGCACTGGGGGGGAGGGGCGTTACGTTATAGGGGGGGAGGAGGGGCTGGGGGCTAATAATGTCCATTACGCCCCAAGCAATAAAGAAACACGCTCCTAGGGGAATGAGTAATGACATAAACATAAAACTCGGAGGTCCGCGCGGGTTCCTCGGATCGGTGCTGGGCCCACCGGCAGTACCTCTGGCGCCGCCCCTGGCGCGCTCCGCGCGCCAGGGAAGGGGGTCCAGCGCGGCTCTGAGAAATCCGCGCGGACCTCCGAGTTGTTATGCTTCATGCCATCCTTCGCTCCCCTACGCTAAGACAAATGCCTTCGAGGCCTCCTCAGAAGCCACTTGCGGCTTCTCCGACGGCCCGAGGGTTTCTGAGAGGCCCCGCCGCATTCCGAGGTCTGCCCCGCCCGGCTCACGTCTCCCCCCCCCTCGGCGCGCCGCCGAGCCGAGCAGTGGGTCGGCGGCGCCTCCAAAGGCTGTGGTTTGCAGAGGGCGCGGTCCGCAGTCGGCACCCTGGGGACCCTCCTGGGGGGCACCCCAGGGGGCGTGCGGGGACCTCGATGGAGTTCCCCCGCGCTCCGAGGGGACCCGACGAGGACAGCGTCGTGCCTCCCAAGGCCCCAACGGTGCCGACCGCAGGCCACACCCTGGCGTAACCATACCCGTTGTGTAGTCGCCGAGGTGGGGGAGGTGCTCATGGAGAACGGTCAAAGTTGAAGGGGCACTGGGACACACAAATATGAATATACACACAAATCCCAGGATTCCCCATCTTTTCCATTACTTTTTGGGGTTTGCGTCTTCACCGCCACAACTTCAGAAGGGGGGCAGACACAGCGCCGATGCCCCTTCTCCCCAGACCTCTACCTGGCGCATCCTGACCAGAACTTCTCGGGGAGAACCCAGCCGCTTGGCGACGAGGGGGTCTTTCAGGCCAAGCAGCGACATCGGCAAAGCAGGAGCTCGACCACAAAAACCCTTCCACAAGAAACCCAACCCTGAGGCCCCAGCACGTCAATTGACTTCTGGTGTGGGAGCGTCACGCTTGCCCTGGCAAAACCATCGGAGCCCAAGAAACCCAGGGCACCCTGGAGGCAAGCAGGGTGCCTCTTGGCATGGGTTTCTCCACTGCAGCGGCATCGGTATGTCCTCCTCCTCCTCCTCCTCCTCCTCCTCCTCCTCCTCCTCGTCCTCCTCGTCCTCCTCCTCCTCCTCCTCCTCGTCCTCCTCCTCCTCGTCGTCCTCCTCCTCCTCCTCCTCCTCCTCCTCGTCCTCCTCCTCCTCCTCCTCCTCCTCATCCTCCTCCTCCTCCTCCTCCTCCTCTGGGAGTCCGCGAATATCTCCGCCGATTGCGCTCCGCGGCCCCCGGCTGGCCATGGAGATCAGGCGGAGCACGCGCAGCGCCTTCGCCAGCCGGAAGATGCGCAGCATCCGCATCCAGGACACGTTCACGAGGACCTCCTCGGCGCGGGCAGTGATGAGCACGTTTTCCACCACCACCACCATAAGTTGGATGGGGCGAAGGGGGAGGAGGAGGAGGAGGAGGAGGAGGAGGAGGAGGAGGAGGAGGAGGAGAAGGAGGAGGAGGAGGAGGACCCCCCCCTCCAACTTATGGTGGTGGTGGTGGTGGTGGAAAACACGCTCATCAGGCAGGGGACATGTGGGCGCGGCAGTGCCAGGACGGGGAGGCTCTTGAGACCACCAGGCCCAGGCCTCCCCAGGGGCCTCTTCCTCCTCCGCTCCTTCGGGGGCGCGGGCGGTGTCGGGACAGAACGACTCTCTAGGACTACCAGGCCCCGAACTCCCCCCGCGTTCTCCTCTCCTTCGAGGCCCGAAGCTCACAGACATGCTCGCAGCCTTCCAGCACCCGAGGCCTTCCGCGGGTGCCCGACGAAGGTGTTGGCACTCTTCGGCCACGGGGTGAAGAGCCGGCCCCCGGGAAGGGGGCCAGACCAGCGGGGGGGGGGTCCACGCCGCGCCAAAAGCACGACGTCGGAATCCTGGGTCCGACGACTAGTTTGCTTCCATCTGGGCAGTGTTAACCAGCCTCGAACTTATCCCTATCCCTAAGATGGGCGAGCAAAAAGCGAGGACAATCTTAGGGATAGGCCCTCAGAAACTGAGGGAATAGTTAAGATCGGCATCGAAGTGAGGTGATGTCAAACATAGGGATAGGGATGTGTTTCAAACTGGGAAGGTGTTGCTCGACGTCGGCCTCGGAGGACGCCAGGCGCGACCCTGCCAGGGGCACGCGCTGCCGTTCCCTGGAGCCCCGCTCGGTGCGATTCTGCCGTGCCTGGCCGCCCGACGACCTCCCTTGCCCTGCAGTCGTCTCTGGATGGGCTGGTGGCTCCGCTGGGGGCCGTCTCTGGATGGGATGGAGGGGGTACAGTGGAGGCCAGTCCACAAGACACCACCCACGAGAAGCCCAACCCCGAGGCCCCAGGGCTCGAGCAGGGGATCGACTACAGGATGTCCATTGATTCTTTGGGGGGCGCGTCACGCGGTCCACCGCAAGACCATCGAAACCCACGACACCCAAAGCACCCTGGAGGCAGGCAGGGCGGCTCCTGGCACGGGCCTCCAGCGTACAGTCAACCAGCACAGCAAGCAGGCGCGATGAGGATGCAGGGGGGCCTTGGACGACATAGCCCCTGTTATTGGAGGCTTCTGGGGCTTAGTGCGCCCCGTTCCAGTTCTGATTCCGGAGCCGTTTTTGTGCGCCCACTCCGAAGCTCTTCGAGCGGGGCGCGGCCAGCGAGAGCGGCGGAGGATGGACCGAGAAGGCCAGGATGCAAAGGGTGCCCTTGGGAAAGGTGGCCCGCCCTTGCTGGGCGGGTTGCCTGTGTAGCAGACAGGCGCAGGCCCTCCCGGATCTCGAGCAGGGACCGACCGTCCCAGCATTCCTATAGTCCTACCACGAAGCGTTCTTAGAACCCGAACGTACTAAGAACAGAAGCAATGCTCTTAGAACACAAACCTGGTGTGATAAAAACAAGAGAGACTCCGCCAGAAATGCTCCAAGAACACCTCGTGGAAACCACAAAACAAAGGTTCTTAGAGCATTGCTTGGTAGGGCCATAGGCGAGCCAGGACGCTTCGCCACTGCTTGACGGAGCTTAGAGGCATCCTAGATGGCGTCGGAGTAGATGGGGTTGGAAGATCGCACCGCATCGCCGACACATAGCGATACATCGCCGATGCATCGGTGATGCATCGGCGACATCGGCGGCATCGGCGACGCCAGCGTGGAGAAGATCGGGCTCCGTATCGAGCCGCAACGCCGATGCATCGTCGAGGCGGCGCGATCCTCCGACACCATCTGCTCGGAACCCCATCTAGGAGGCCTGGACAACTGCCGCCGCGCCCCGAGCGGGAAGGACCCGGGCACCCCGCCCGCCTCGGCGCGCCCCCCCCCCCCTCGAGCCTCGCCACGCATCGCTCGGCCGCCCGGTCGGTCCCCCGTGCGGCGGCTACTGATTTTTGCGTGCGCAAATTGGGCGCCCGAACTATCCGGGGTAACTCGGGTCCGGGGTAAGTCGGGTTCGGAATCCCGAAAAACCAACCCGAGTTAACCCTGACCCGAGTTACCCCTGATGATTCGGGGCTCTGGACGCCCGACTTGTCCGGGGTAACTGAGTCGGGTCCGGGGTAACTCGGGTTCGGAATCCCGAAAAACCAACCCGAGTTGGCCCTGACCCGAGCTACCCCTGATGATTCGGGGCTCCGAACATATGGCTTCGGAAGACGATCCAAACTCTGCTCCTCGAGGGTGCTCGCGCCGGGAAGCATAGTGCGCACGGCGGAGCGAGGCCAGGCGACGGGTGAGGGCGGCGGAGACCCTCGGGGAGCACGCCGCATCGGAGGTCGCCGGTCTGTGGCGCCATGCGCAGCTGCCTCGACTCGGATCGGTTCGGAGCTGCCACCCTGCGAGGCCGCGCTCGAGCGCACGCGCCCCGTCGACCCGGGTCCTCGAGAAAACAGGTGTACATCCCAATGAGGACAAGAGAGAAGTCCGCCAGCCCTCTGAAGTTGAGGGGGCCTGCGAGAAGTATGATCTCAGAAGCCGCATCCCCCCCCCAAAAAAAAAGCAAACTTTCTCCTCGGCTCTCTAGGAGTTCTCTGGGCAAAGTGAGCAGAAACAGAAAGTCGTGAAGCCAGGCGCGGAAAAAAGAGGCTCCTTATCGTGCCTCCTGGCATCTATCGGGAAGGCGCTGGTGGCAGGGAATCTGCCAACGCTTTCGCATGGGGGGGAACTCTTCCTAAAGTCGTTTCCCAAACACATCCCAGGAGGCCCTGGCGGTGACGGGGAAGTAATGGGGCGGGGATGGAAAAGGAGCGGGTGGTGAGGCCAACTTGTTTTGTATATTCGGGTGGCCGTGTCTGCCCTATCGCGCCACTATCCGCGCCGAATCCGCTTCGAATCCACGCAACATGTCGAATCCATGTGGATTCCACGTTGGATCCGCATCGGATCATCGTCAACTCCACGCCTAAGACAAGAACTTTTAAAACACATGACGCCCCCCCCCAAAGATGCAAAGCAAAATACACATCTTTCGGAATCATTGGGTAGAAGCATGAAGCACGGAAACGTCGGAAACAAATTTGACCTCCGTGAGCCCCACAGAGACGAAGGATAAAAAACAATACGGGCTTGGTGGGCATGCTCCTCCCGCAATCCGTCCTGGCCAAGCTTGCGACCTACCGACATTCAAAAACACATATAGTACTCAGAGTTTCTTAATTAACATCGGGGGGGCGTCACCCCCGCCGCCAGCCCCACATCGACCCCGTCGCGGGCAGCCACCGCGCGCCGAAGGCGCTCCGATCCCCGTCGCGTCGCGACGACGAGGCGAGGTTGACCCCCGTCGGGGGGGGTACCCCCCCACGCTTATTAGGAAACCCAGGGTAGGGCTGGTGGCATCGCCATACAACAAAAAACAATGTATACTAGGGTGGTGGCAATCGGGACCCGAAGGGGATTTTCCCATGGCTCTGGAGCTCTACCCCGTCAGGAAGCACTGCCTCCCTTCATCTCTGTTTCAGCCCTTCCCGTTGGTCTCAGCGTGGTCATTCCTGTATTCCTTTCTCTCCCTCTCCCTCTGTCCCTGGCCCTCACAGAGATGTGAAGGAGGAGGGAGAGAAAGAGAGACGGACTCTTCATCTCTCTCTCTCTCTCTGTCAACCCGATGCCCCCCCCCATCTCGAGGAATGCTTAACATATGCGCTCTCTTCCCCCTCCTCACCTCTCCATATCTTGCGGCGCTTCTTTTACCGCCGACACGCCGAGACCAATACTGCTTTCTGTGCTTTCTGCCGCGTACATGCATCTGTGAGCAGGCTACATATATAGCTCCGTACACGTCGCCCTCTTTCCCCAACAAATGAACACCCTCCTAACACCAAGTGCACCCCCCGACCTCCCAAATATATACTGGCCGTCTCCTTGTGTCTTTCTCTCTCTCTCTCTCTATATATACGAATATGTATCACTCTGCATACATCCCTCTTTTCTCTTTCCCTCCATAATTCCACAATTGCATGTAGACCAAGAAAGCGAAGCACTTGATGCGGACTATGGAACATCTGCCTGTGTCTCTCTCTCTCGCTCTCGCTCTCTCTATCTCTTTATTTGCGCGCGCTCTCCCTCTCTCATGCGTGTGAAAAAAGACGAGGAGAAGGATGAGAACCACCTGGATGTTGACACCCTGTCCGGACGCATCAGGGATAAATAGAGTATGGGGTCTGCTGCATTCCGAATGGCGTCAGATTGAAACCCTATTCGGATGCAATGGGAATCCTCTGGCTCTGGGATCGGCTCCGTTACTATTGAGAGGAGAAGGAGGATGATGACGACGAGAAAGGAGGATGATGAAATGGGGCGACGCAAGGACCAGCAGCAATACGATGAGGAGGATACCGATGATCACGAGGCTGTGGATAGGATGTGGAAGAGGATCGGGAGGAAGATGTGGACGAGGACGGACAGGAGGGATGAAGGGGCAACGTGAGGATCGGCAACAAAACAGCTTAACCTCAGCATTATCATCCTGCAGTTCCCTTGCACCTCCCTCCTCGCATCACTCCTTCTCGCCCTCCTTATGCCGCTTGTTAAAATCAGCATCGCCATCATCATCATCATCACCATTAGCAACATCAACAAGAACATCATCATCATCAATATCATCAGCAGCATCATCATCATCACCAACATCATCGTTATCATCATCGAATGCGTCACCATCTACGTCTCCTCGTCAACCTCCTCTGCAGATAGAACTCTCAACATTGTCTTCCCGTGTCCACTCTGTTTCTTCCCTATCTGATCGCTCATCCTTGCTATCCTGTCCCCCGTCCTCTCACTAACATTCGTAACATCAACATCATGTTCGTCATCATCACCACTACCCTCATTATCATCATCGTCGACGTCGTCATCATCAACTACTATGGTCAATGGTAAAATCTGATCCAAAACAATCCCCAAACAACCCCCCAGAGAACCCGGACAACCCCTCCAACATGCATACCATAAACGTCCCAGCATGCGATTGTGGATGGCGCTCGAGCGGTAGGACACTACCCACATTCTTAGGCAAATGACCGGCGCTGAGGCGGGTGGATGTGGCCAGCGCGAAGGCGACATCACCACTTCCAGTCGGGGATGTAGCCAGAGCTCGGGCGAGAACACCTTTCCAAATCGCGGATGTTGCTGGCACTCGAGGAGCAGCACCATGCATACCCAATAAAAGATGTGGTCGTCGTTCAGGCGAGAGTACTGTTCCCAATCAGGGACGTACCGCGCAGTGCTGCAAGGATGTCTCAGGCGAAACCCACTGACCTCCCAAAACCCAGCGGAGGTACCGCTCAACGACAAAGTGCGCCGACTACGAGAGGCGCAACACAGGAGGACGCATTTCTAAGGAGCAGGGGCTGACGAGGAAGAGGAGGAGAGAACGGAGGAGGAGGAGGAGGAGGAGGAGGAGGAGGAGGAGGAGGAGGAGGAGGAGGAGGAGAGGAGGGCTTCCCTGGTTGTGACATACTTTTTTACGGTATGTATGAGAATGGCACGTGCACGCGCTGGCAAGGCAACGCGGCCAAGACAACCCCTCGGACAACCCCGCAAGGATCCGGCCATCCCCCCCAACACCCCCCGTTGGACGAGCCGCCCCAGCATATTTTCCGTCAGAAAGATTACGCCTTCTCGTTCACCTCCTCAGCTGGCAAGAGTCCCAACATTACCCGAATGCGCCCCCCTGCTTCTTCCCCCTCTTATCGTTCATCCTCGCCCTCATCCTGTCGCTTGCCCTCCTCACCATAGCATATCCTCCTCCTCCTCCGCCCCTTTTTCTCGTAGGAAGTGTAGGAGCGCAGGGAAAGAAGAGTGCAGAGAGGATGGGATGAGGAGGAAGAGGCGGGGAAGAAGGAAGATGGCGGGGATTATGGCGACGAGGAACAGGATGGCGGAAGAGAAAACATGAATGAGAGAGCACGGAGAGGAGGAGCAGGACGACCACGAGGACGAAGGAGGATGTAAGGGGGGGCGACGCGATGGTCAGCAGCAATACGACGAGAATGAAGACGATGACCATGAGGACCATGAGGATTGGAAAGGTATGGAAGAGGAGCATGTGGCCTATGTGGACGAAGACGGAGATGAGGGATGGGGGGGCGACGTAAGGATCCACAGCAAGACGGACGAGGACAAGGAGGACGATGATCAGGAGGATGAGAGGGATGAGGGCCACGATGACTAAAATGAATGTTGCAGCAGAGGATGAACATGAGGATAGAGAGGAACATGAGGATAGGGAGGAACGCTTGTCCTCCTCATCATCAGATACTCCTCCTCGTCCGTTTCCTCTGCTGATAGGAGAGGTCGGGGGCGGAGGGAGAAGAGGAGAGGAGGAAAGGAGGCCAGCCCTCGGAAGCTGAGGTTGGTCATTACTCGCATGCCAACTGTTGAGGGCCGATCAAAACGCGAATGATATGATACGGAGGGGCGCAACCATTGGCATACTGATACATATATATACACATACACATATACGCATAGCTATACCATAGACATACCAGTATATGTATATATATGTGTGTACATAGCTGTACTGTGCGTATCTGCAGGTATGTGTATTTGTGTGCATACATACGTATACAGATGTACATGTAGGTGCGCGTGTCTCCACATGAGTATACATGTAGGCACGTTTGCACTGGAAAGAACATCAACAAACACATCATACGGACCGTGCCCCCTCATACGGCCCCGCGGCGCGCAGCGTATGGAGAGACTGTCACGCCCTGCGCTACTCGCAGCTGCATACGGTCGGACCCATCGCCAGGCTGCGCTTGAGACTGCATGCGAGTGCTGAACAGATGTGTGCACATGTTTGCAGACACGCCTCTAGCGCCCGCAGAGCGTGAACAACCCTACCAAGAATATAGTATGCCAACGCTGTGATGCCGCGTCAGACGCATTAGGTGCACTTGCGCTTCACATGGAAACGCGGGTGTAGGCTCGCCGATGGCGTTGCGTACAGATCAGAGCTCTTGCGTTGGAACTAAGTACGGTGCTCGTCTAAACGAAGCCACCGAATCCCTGTATGCAGATGCTAGCGCGAAGCGACATGTATCTAGCCAGTTGTACCTCCAATTGCTATCGCAGAAGAAGTACAAGCGGTAGCGCCATAACTTGATGAACAACTCGAGCGAGTATACACCTAAAAATCCGCCAACATGCCGCGATGCACGAACGGAGTGTCCTCAGGCCCTTGTTCACAATACTGTATAGGTCTCGGGCGCTCTTTGGGGATCTCTGGGGGGTGCGTCGCACGACGTGACTTTCCCAGAGGCCTCAGGAGTGCGGTTCGGAACCCTCGCTTCCAACACGTCCTAAGATGGATTCCAGGGACTGTCCTGGGGCTATCTTGGGTGGCTTCTTGGGCCGCCTTGGAGGCCCTGCGGGTCGGCTCAAGAGACCGACATTGTTGCAGACCTTACAGAGAGCGTGATCCACCGCCGCTTTACTGTGGAAAATTGCCGCCCTTTTCCTCCGGAACCCGGGGGTCCCCCCCCCTCCGAAAATCCCCCCCCCCTGCTGGAACACCTCCCCCCCCCCCCTTCTCTTCCCTGGCAAACCCCCTCCCCTCCCCTAACCCCCCCCCCCCTTCCCCTCGAAAACTGGGGGGGGGGGTCACTACCGGTTCGAACCCCCCACCCCCCCCCTCGAAAACCGGAGGGGGGGGTCACTACCGGTTCGAACCACTGAGCTGTCCCACTGTTCCCACCACTGTCCCCACTGTCCATACCACTGTCCCCACTGTACCTCTGTCCCATTGTCCCACCGCCGTCCTCGCCACCGCCTTCACCACTGTCCCCACCACCACTGTACCCTCCACTGTCCTACTGTTTCCACCCACGTTCCCACTGTCCCCACACCACTGTCCCCACCACCACCGTCCCCACCACTGTCCCACTATCCCCACTGTTCCCACCATTGTCCTCACCATTGTCCCCACCACTGCCGTCCCCAGCACTGTCCCTCTGTCTCCACCACTGTCCCGCTGTCCCCTCACCACTGTCCCCACCACCACCGTCCCCACCACTGTCCGCACCCCCCCTCGGTTTTCGAGGCGGGGGGGGTTCGAACCGGTAGTGACCCCCCCCGTTTTTCGAGCTCGAGGGGGGGGGAGGGCCCGGGGGGGTTCGAATTGGTAGTGACCCCCCCCCTTTTCATGATGAACTGGGGGGGGGGGGAGGGGTTCGAACCGGTAATGACCCCCCCCGGTTTTCCGAGGGGGGGGGGGGGGGAGGGGTTCGAACCGGTAGTGACCCCCCCGGTTTTCCGCCAGCAGCGGTAGAACACGCTCTTTCAGACCTTAAGATCTTAGTGTGATGTCCGAATGCCCGCCTGTCCCATATGGAGAAAATAGAAGACTGCCCAGGACGCCGCAAAGACCCAGCCAAGACTGCCCTCGAGGCTACCAAAAGGGGCCCAAGAGTCTCCCAAGAGGTCCCCAGGAGTCGAGCCTCTCAGCCCAAGCTGGCCCCCAAGACAGCCATGAGGCCCCAAGGAGGCTTCAAAGAGGCACCCAGGAGGCCCCGAGAGACAGTTAGGTCCCCAGACGCCATCAGGAGGCCCACAGGAGGCTCCCAAGAAGTACCCAGCCCAGCTCCCAAGAGCCCCCAAAGAGTCCCCATAGGAGGCTCACGAGACCCGAAGGGGCATCCAAGTGGCCGCTCGTCCACGACCCAGGCGCGGTTACGGGATAGGCCGAAGGCCACTGGATGCGCAGCCCCTGTGGTCTTGCCACAAGGGTGCCCGGCTTGCTGAACCCTTCTGATTTTGGGATTGGCTCTTCTTCCTTACAGGAACTCTCCCAGGGGGCTTCGGCGCGTCCCGCTGGCCACCCTGAAGACCTGGCTGCAAACAACCATCCCGGTCCAAACGGCACGGGGGGGGCGGGCTTCCTTCGGAGGAGGCACGGGGAGTTTCCTGGAGGCCCTCCAGCGTTCCAAGAAGCCTGGATGGCCTCCACGTTCGCCCAAGATGGTCCAAGATGGCCTCCAAGACGGCCTCCAAGAGGGTCCGAGATGCCTCAAAGTCCACCCGAGAGGCCACCAAGACGGCCCACGCAAAGCCTCAAGAGGGCTCAAGACGGCCCAAGAGGCCCCAAGAGACCTCCAAGACGGACCAGGAGAACTTTCGGAGGGCCTCCAGGAAGGCCCGAACGGCCCAATATGCCCCCAAGACGGCCCCAAGAGGGCCCCAGGACGGCCCAAGAGGCCTCAAAGACGCCGGAGATGGCCTCCAAGACGGCTCTGGAGCACCCCAAGAGGCCCCCAAGACGGCTTCCGACGGCATCAGACGGGCCAGAAGCCCACCAAGACGGCCCAAGATGGCTCCAAGATGGCCCAAGACGGCTCAAGAGGCTCCCAAGATGTCTCCAAGACGGCCCCAGAGGCCTCCTTGAAGACAAGGAAGGCCCGAAGAGGCCTGGGCCATGGATGGTTCATAGGTTTCTGAAGGATGTGTTTGGCATGTGCTTCTTGTCGGCCTTCCGACAGCCCGAGACGGCCCAGGAGCCCTCAGAGATCGCCCCAAGATCGCACAGGAGGCCTCCAGGATGGCCCCGGAGCGGCCGAGGCCCCCGAGACGGCCCCAAGAGGGCCCCGAGACGGCCCAGGAGGCCACGAAGACGCCCGAGACGGCCTCCAAGCTGGCCCTGGAGCACCCCAAGAGGGCCCCAAGTCGGCCCAGAAAGGCCCCCAAGCCGGCTTCCGACGGCGTCAGACGGGCCAGGAGTGCCCTAAGACGGCCAAAGGAGCCCCCGAGAAGCCCAAAAGGCCCCCAAGAGGCCCAAGGAGGCCCCCAAGATGCCTCCAAGAGGCTCCCAGGAAGCTCCCAGGAGGCCCCAAGAGTGCCCCAGAGGCTCCTAATATGCCCCTTCATCCTCCTCTTCCTCCTCCTCCTTCTCTTCCTCCTGATTTTCCCCGCCATCCTCGCTCAAGTGTTCCCCGAAGGGTGTCCACAACGGTTGGGGAACACATGGTCCGATAGCCTGGCAAAAATCTTGCCACAACACTCGGCCACATGGGCGATTCCAAAAGGCAGGGGGCGGCGGTGATTCGCCGTCGGCGTCTTCGATACAAGCTCGCCGATTACAAAAAAAACAGTTGGATCTCGGTCGTAGTGCTTGATCTCCGTGTCGGCGGCATACGTCATGAACAAGCAGTTGACGAGAATTACGAAGTAGATACCGACTAGAAACGTTGTACTGTCTGCGAAGCGCGACACGAAGTCCGTTCGCCTGGGCGCTTCCACCTTCGGAGGTCCAGAGACACTTCAACCCACCAACATCTAGAGGCCTCCCAAATGGGGCCCGAGTAGATGGTGTCGGAAGATCACGCCGCATCGCCGATGCGTCGGCGACATCGGCGATGTATCGGCGACGCCGGCGTGGAGAAATCGGGATCCAGATCGAGGCGAATCGCCGATGCATCGGCGATACGGCGCGACTCTCCGACCCCATCTATTCGGGCCCCACTAAAGAGGCGACACACTTCAACCCTACACCGTATTCACATGCTGACCCACCTCTTTCAACCAGTCTGCATAGGCAAGACGGGAGGATGCACTTCAGGTTCGCCATCGGTCGGAAAGAAAATAGTAGAAACATGAAGTAGGAAGGCGGTGGAAGTATTTTGGGCTTCCGCACACCCCCTGAAGAAGAAGAAGGACGAGAGACAATCGCTCAACTCTTGAGGTAGAAAGGCGGTTAAAGTAGACTGGGATCTGGGGATCCAGAAATACCTACTTTCAACGATCGGCGTGTGCGCCTCTGGCGAAAACCGCAGCAAACCTTTCTGGCGGAGCTTGGGTGAAGACACGAAGGTCCCGATTCCCGAGGCCTACCGAGGCCTAGTGTGGCAGAGACTCGGACTTGCCCTGCGTCTACCAATAACCCACTTGACCATCTTGGGCTGGGAGTGAGCGAGCCAAACCAGTGTCTAGAGGAACAACCAACTGCAGAAACATAATCCCCCGACCCTGTCTGCGTGTTTTTGTTTTTGTTCCGTCTGAGTCGTCGCCGCCGTCGTCGTCGTCGTCACGGGTTCCCCTCCCTGTTCCCCTTGGCCATCTTCCTCAAGCGTTTCAGCCAGAGGGAAGCCGAGCAACGTCGTAATAGAGTCGAAGGGAAGCCCCTTCCCGATGATCTCTCAACCGCCAAGGGGGAGGGGGGTCCCCGGGTGGGTGGGTAAGGGGAGTCCCAGGGTAGTGTTCGGTCGGGCATATCCTCCTACGGGCGGATTTTGGAGGAAGGATGAAACAGATTCAAACAAATCGTCCCCATACGATTGTTTGACTATTTTTGAACATACCTCCTGTAGAGGGACACGCCCGACTTCAGGGTAGGGTGTTGGGGGGGGGGGTGCCTGGGGTTGACCCCCCCGGGGGGGTGGGCACCCCTCGCCGGGCGAGACATCGGCTCCAGATCATTCGCGTCGTTGTCGTCATCGCCGTCGCCGTCGTCGTCGTCGTCGTCGCCCCCCCTCAAGGGCGGCGATACTGCCCGTGAGGCAGATCGAATTTCGGAAATAACCCACTTGCCGTTCTTGGTTGAAGGGGCCCTGGGACACACAAATAAACAGACACAAATAACAGCATTCCCCATATTTTCCCATATCTTCTGGGTTCCTGTCTTCCCCCCCACTGCCCATCTTGCCCCACATTTTTGCCTGGGAGCGGACGATGAATGGTGTCTGTGTGCTTCTTTCCCTCCTGATTGGTTGGGGGTCAAGGGGCCACAGATGCCCAACACCGGTGCGTGCACGCCCCACAATTTGAGCTCCCGCGGGGCCGGATCCGGTGGACCCCGCCAGGACCTCCCGGGTTGTGGGAAGGAACGCACTACTCTGCGGGGCTGCCCGGCGCCGGCCCCTCGTGCCGAGGCCGCGGGCCCCGCTGTACGGCCCGCGCTCCGAGAGGTCGCGAACCCCGCGAGCGCGGTCGCCTAACTTTTCATCACAACGACTCCTCTGGTTACGCCTTTTGAATCATATGACGCACAGCTGTGTTCGCACTCGTGCGTGTGCACGCCCGCTGCCGTTCTGTGTCAGGCACCTTCTGATACCGTGCCTCGCGGAAAAAAAACAGCGGCACGATATCGTCAATGGAGGACGCCACAATGGGGCATGAGCAGATTGGATGTTGGAAGGGCGCACCGCACGCCGATGCATCGGCGATGCATCCGCGGCGTCGGAGTAGGAACGGCGATGCTGCGCGATCATCTGACCCCACTTTGGCATGGCTTCGGGTTGCGCACGGAAAGACCCCCTGGTAGTCCTGGCCGGCCTCAACGGGCACCACGAGGAGTGCCAGCTATCTATCACCGCCTCTGTCGGCGCACCTGGGGCATTCCGCGCCCTAGGGTTGAGGTATTGTGACCGCCCAGGAATACTCGGGGGGCCTGCTGAGGCTAGCTTGGACTGCTGGCGGATCTGTGCGCGACCCGACGCCTTAACCACCCCATCTACTCCAGCCTCGTTTGTGCGCCCTGGAGCTCATAATCGGAAACTGGAACATACACATTACCAGTGGCGGGTTGTTGTTTCAATCCCACGACTTTCTGACGGTCGGGGACGACGTCGGGGTGCTGTGGTGTATACGTTTCCCGGTTGTCCGAGGGACACAACAAAAACACTGTATACACCAGGATCCCGTATACACCAGGATCCGCGTTCCTGTGCGAAGTTCAGCATGGTCGGAAAACGCGTCGGTGTATAGAGTTCATTTCTCGACACAAAGCCAAACCCGCCACGACAGCATGTCTCGTACTTCGCGCCCAGGCAGTGCGTGCGCGGCTGGGCGCGTGGCGTAGCGGCGTGAGGGCCCGCGGCCGTGAGAATCGAGCGTCCTGGCGTGCCGAGAGACAGTGGAGGCGGGCCGTGTCGTGGTGCTCGTTGTGCCGCTGCTCAGGGACGCCCTGGCGCTGCCCACTCTGACGGAGGAGAGGTGCAGAGCGCGTCCATAGACAGCTCCCTAGAGGCCTCCTCGATGGGGTCGGAGTAGATGGGGTCGGAGGATCGCGCCGCATCGCGGACACATCGGCGTCGAGGTCGGAGTAGATGGGGTCGGAGTAGATGGGGTCGGAGGTCGGACGTGGGCGACGCACCGGCGACGTCGGGATGGAGAAAATCGGGCTCCGCATCAAGCGGCATCTCCGATGCATCGGCGGTGCGGCGCGACCCTCCGACCCCAATTACTTCGACCCCATCCAGGAGGCCTGGATTCACACACTGCGGCTGCTACCACAGTACGATACACGCCTACGGCAGCGTGAAGGAAATGACGCGACAGAGGGTGTGTACACGAGTGGCCACGCGCACGCCACAACGCGCGTATCGGTCTCCCGCTTGGCAAGGCGCCCCCCGGGTCGGGCAACATGCTGTACGTGGGGACGGGATGTGGTGGGAATTCGACATGCACAAACTAAGCGAGGGAATCCTCCTCCTCGTCCTAGCGAACATGGTCGGCGGCAACGGCCGTAAGGCCTTCGCAACAAGTGGTGACCTGGCGCTGTGGTGCCGAGAAGTGGCGGTATCGTTGCGTCACTGCGTCGCCGACGATGCGAGCGACCGTGGGGATGGGGGCACCGACGACGGCGCGCACGATGACGAGAAGGGTGCTAGCGATGGTACTTAACAATCGCTGCTTCGCCGCCTTCGACGTGAGGGGCTACCATCGTGCCACACGCAGAGGCAGGCTGACAGACACAAAGAGTGCCGATGGCGCAGCGATGGTGTTCGCACACGATGGCACAACGATGGTGACGGCGCAACGCGTCGGCAGCCCGAGAGGAGGGGGGGGCTCTGCCGAGCGAACTGCGCACGGAGACCGCGGGGAAGAGAGGAGGACGGCCGCGGGGGCCTTGATAGCTTAGGGAGCCCGTGGATCTGGCGCGTGGGCGCCAGACACACTTTTTGGTCGGCGGGAAGAGAGCGAGCCTCTTCCGCCAAAAGCTAGGCGGGCGACGCACAGCTTTTTTATCAGGGAGGCAGGGCACGGGAGGGCGGGGCCTCGGGCGCGTGGTCGCCAGGCACACGCCTCGGGGAAGGAAGTCACCCCCGACACAACAGGCCCCTGCCGCCTCACGAGGCGACGGAGCGCGCCGAGTCTGCACGGACACGGGACCCGTCGCCAGTCCGCGCTCTTTGATCCATGGCTGCGGTTCGCCCCCCTCCAGAAGATGAAGGGGCCCCAGGACACACAAGTAAATACACACAAATAAAATTATTCCATATGTTGTCCCATATTTTCTGGGTTTTTGTCTTCCCCCCCACTGCCCATAGTTTCCCATATTGTCCTGGGAGTCGACGATCAATTGTGTCTGTGTGTTGTTTCCCCTCCTGAGGAAAGACCGCACCACCATCACCTCTCCCCCTCGAACCCACGATGGTGCCGCCATGCCCCACGCAGGAGCCGCGGCCAGCCCCGAGGTCGCGGGCGAGGACGACGACAGCAGTACACCAAAGTAGCACAGCACATTCCCAACAGAACCAATCCACGCCGCGGATTCCCACTTCAACCACGCACCCAAGAACGGTGTAAGACCGCTCGGCCCCTTCACTCGGACTGCAGTGTGTGCAGCCTGTGTGCGTGCGCGTCGTCTGGAGCGTACAACGCTGCCACGACGGCCCAAGAGGCCTCCAACACCGCCCGAATACAACCTAAGGGGCCCCCAACGGGACTCCAAAACGGCCCAAGAGGGCCCTACCCAGGAGGCCACAAGACGAGCCCAAGAGCACACCCGAAAAAGGCCCCCAACGTGGGAGCACGGGCTGACGTTTCGAGTCCGCCACCCCAAAATGGCACCAACATCTCCCCAAATGCCCCCGAGGAGTCCCTCAAGAGGCCCCCAGGCGGCCCTCAAAAGGCCCGCGAGGGACCCAAAGAGGCACCACAGGAGACCGAAAGGGACACCCACGAGGGTACCCCCCGAGAGGCATCCCCAGAGACCCCGAGAGGCATCCATCGAGATGACCGATGAGGCACCGTTCAAGGAAACCGCTGCCCTACAACCGAGGTGCGGTGATGGGTTGGGGCAACAACCACTACATGCATACATACATACCTACATGCATGCATATATACATACATCCAAACAAACATGCATGCAATCATGCATGCATGCATGCATACATACATGCATGCATACATACATGCATGCTTACACAAATACCTACTCTATGCAAACATGCATACCGTACATACATGTATGCATCCTACATGTATGCATGCATACTACATGCATGCATACATAC